AGTCTACCCACCTTACAAAAAATTCCGTCCTCGAAATTCCGAAAACACAACAACTAGAAGGCAAAGAGAGTACAAGAAGGGGACATCAAATGTGAGGTTCGGGTACTCCCTCCGAATCTCGGTCTCCCCCTGCCAAATAGTCTCGCCCTCAACTTGAACTACACCCACTGGACTTTGACGAGTACCCATCCCGGTCTTTCCTAATGGACCCTCAGTTCCAACAGGTCAACGGTACCTCCTTACAGGTAGGGTTCTGCCTATAACACAGCTCGTCACAATTCGCACATACCTCGAGATCACGCACACAATCCCTCCAACACGAGACTAGAACATGTCATGCATCCTCGCAAGTCCCAGTGGTGGAGTCAACAATCAGGCTATTCTATTGACTTGGTCGAGAAATCAGGATAGGACAGACAATCGACACTTATACTCAAATCTGGTACATTTAGAACACACGGTTCTGTTTGATACCACTGACAATGCCTCTCTCCTCGCCGACACGAACAACATCTCGTATGCGGTTTAGGAAGTAAAGGCTAGATACTCAATAACGATTTCCTTCTACGGAGTCGGTCTCCAGTCGAGACTCAAGGCTCCGCCCCCACATTAATACGGAACTACTATCTCGCCATGTCGAGAATTTCTCGCATGTGGCAAAGGAACTAATCGACCAACCTCACACATCGAGGGTCGTTGATTAGGAAATTCACACAATGACTCAAAAGATCAACATACACTTTGACCAAAAAAATCTGGTTCAAAGACCCCTAAAAGGACAAGTTGGACTGGGTTTAATGCACTGTCACCCGAGAGGTGATACACACGCTGGCGCTGCATATGCGGGGCGCTAGGACGCGTGCGTGTACCCACTCGGATACCAGTTACAAGGTCAAGGTTTGGCCGTACACACTGACCTGGGGAGTTTGGCGTTCGGTGATGGCGGCGGCAGCCCTCGTGCGAGTCAACGATCGGCCACTGCTGTTGGCCTCACGTCTCTCAGCACGGGCGTGCGGGCTTGGCCACCACTTCGCTTGGCTACACCCAGTCAGGTTCGACACTCGATTCGAGGTGCATTCTAGTGCCTCATATATAGATACGTAACCACTAATTATGTAAAAAGGTTTCAGTGAACCAATTGACATGTGAAGGATAGATTACCATCTAGAATGGGCTAACTACGGAAGTAGCAACTATTGCAGTGGGAGTTATCTATTAAATAGAATTTTTAGTTTTTGAGTAATTAATACCAAGTTTTAGAAAGAACTCGTGTTTGGTTTCTAAATTGTGTATGGGTAAAAAACGAGATGTTTTATCCATTTGATACGTGGGTAGACAATTTGTAAACTCAAGGAACCAAAATATCTCACAGTGTAATAAATAACACATCGACTAGAATCAATAAGAATAAAGGTCCTTCAATAAATGAATCATTACATTACTTGGAATCTAGTGTTTGAGATTTTAGAGTTAGTAGAATTCAAAGGTTGATAGCCATTGAACTCATGGGTTCTTTGGGATGGATGAAACTATCAGACCTACGAATTATACTTGGTAGCTAAAATAAAAAAAATGACCTTTTGAAGGCCGAGGGTTAGAAGCCAAATAAATGTTATGGTTGGTTAATCCAATTTGTAAAGTTCTATGATTTTAGGACGAAAGATAGTTTTGAATATTTTTCTTCGGAGAAATTTGTTCAAAACAGGGTACATTAAGTGACATTCCATAAGTTTGAGTACATCGAAAGAGTGTAATGGCAGTTATGAAAAGATGTCGAGTTTAATGTATCAGTGGCATTACGATTGAATCGTAGTGACTAATACCTTTTGGAAAATCATAGAAGTACTTAATGGGTATTGAGATTCAATCTCAATGTGTTTCACCTGGTTCATCAAAACATGACGGTACAACAGACGGAAGAAAAATGTCTCTCTAAAAGATTGGTTATGTCAATGATGAGTTATTAGGAATTTTGCTTTTTCGTATTGGAGTTGTGCAAATAGCAGGATAAGCTCTGAACATAATCCTATCTAAGTTTAGTAGTCATCACTCTGAGTGAATTGTTGGCAAGACTTAGGACTTGTCAGGAACATATTCGGATTCAGAGCATTTCAGCACATGTGCTGGAAAGTTGATACTAATATGATTGGAAAAGATGTTCGGAAATTAGACTATTTGTGGGATACTTCATAGTAACGAGAAATGAGTGGATTATTATAGTACTAAAACTCAGAATTCGTTAGCGTGAATGTCTGATTTTTAAAGGAATACTAAGTAATAATAAATCACTATATTCATTTGTAGAATTGTTTTAAGGAAAGATAAAGGTAAAAGTTCAACTTTATTACCAAGTGTACAAATGTGATACCACAAGGAAAAAACTGCAACACGTATTTTGTGCTATACACCTTTTCAGAGGGAACCTCGTTGTAGTGGGAGGGTTACAAGACAACTCCATTTGTGATAATAAGAGAGTCGTTGGACTCAGTCTGTATTAATCACAAGTTCATGGAATTCATGTTTTGAGAAAGTCTCGGACTTAGTCTCTAGTAAACTTGAATCGATCCCTAGTTATACAATGAGGAGATCCAAGACAAGGATGCATAAACTTAGCAAAGTTTTAATGATTTCTGATTTAGGGTCATGGACTCTTATCAGATCTGGGTTCTTATAGAATTACCAAGTAGCAAACTTGCTATTGGACGAAATCTATAAGTGAAGACTTTAGTACAAGGCTTGTTGTGAAATAGCAGACTCAGAAAGAAAGGGATCTATTATGAGTTAGTTTTACACCAATAGCCGTGTTTAAGTCTGTACATAGAAAGGTTTGTTGTGAAATGGTGAACTCAGAAAGAATGGGATCTATTATGAGTTATTTATTTCACTGGTAGCTGAATTCAAAGCTGATGTCATTCATATGAGTTGTGAGTTAGGCAAAGTGGTTGTCAAGATATTTTTCTTAACCGGAAGTCTTGTAGGAATATCCACAGGGCAGCACCCAAAAGTTTTCATTGAAAAGGGCTAAAGAGCATTTTGTCAGTAGGCTGACAAAGTCCATTTAAAGGACCGTGGTGGGCCGATCATTTGGTTGATAAGTTTGAATCGTAGATTTGATCATCAACTAAATGAGCATTGTGTGTGGCGCAATGGTAGCGTGGTGGTATTTTTGTACTATGCGTAGACGTCATCTTGATCACTGGAGACAGTGTGAAAATGTTGACAGAAGCAAGGATATGGTTATCCAAGTAGTGGTACATGAAAGTTTCAGAATCAACAGATATTCTTGAGATTGAGGATCACAAGAAAGATATGTTGCGATTATCCCAATTTTCATGTACAGACTGTCATAAGGCTCATTGTATTTGCATGATACAGAGGCAGTCCTTATGCATGGCAAGCGGAAGCCTAGTATATGCAATAGATGAGGCCTGATATTTATTTGCAAGGTTAGTAAATATCGAAGTAATCTTAGATGGGAGCAATGGTTCATGGTAGGACATAAGATCAAGCGCCGTAAAAGGGTTAAAGACAATATGTAAGGTTACCATATGAACCATAAGCAACCTTTGGATTACAAAGGATTCTGATTTCTAATCAGACATGAACAACAAGTAAAAACCACCTTATGGTTTGAGTTCACTTGTGGGAACCAAGTAGATTAGAGGAATGTCAAGCGGTGATACGTTGACGGATTCCACTATGAACTCAGTACGTCCCTTCCCAAAAGGTGAGCGACGTAGAGATTGGATTCGCCATTGAACTAAAAATGTGAAACCTCGTCTGGCCAAGTCAGGTCACAATTTGAATGTGATGACAGTTGGTGCAGTTACAGACAGATATGAATCACTAGTTCATAAAGCAAGTGACACATAGAGCAAGTACGCCCGTTGCAAAGGACTGCGACAGGGTGGATGTTTGTCGCCTAGTTACATTGGTACATAACCAGAAAATCCTTTTAGGATTGGCTTTCCGGCGAAAGCGGATGAGGGCCATGTTAAAGGATTGGAAGTCGGATGTATGGCAGAAAGGACAACAGTTCTTTGAGAATTGGGATTGAAAGAGAAACGTGGTTAGCAATAGCCATGAGCTTATTACGCATAAGTGGGAGATTGTTAGAGGTATGCTGTAAAAGCTCCAATTTACAGATTCTATCAATTCCATTTTGATCTGGCCATCATTTTTCGGTCAAAGTACATATGCTTGCAGTTTATTTATTTATGCAATCATATTCCTTGTCTTACATTGAGATAGTGTGGTTCGAAGTGTTTCGAACAGAAAGATCAC